ACTTATGTGTTGTCAGGAGAGACCAGTCCTGGAGAAGGACATCACGTAGCAGAGGGAAAAAAGGAAAGACCTCAATGAGATGGACTGACACAGGGTTTGTAATAACACATTCAAACGTAAGAACAATTGGGAGAACAGCCCAGGACTGGGCGGCATTTCCATCAACATGTAAATGGATAAACTTTGTAACTAAAACCATACACAAAAATTAACTTGAAATGGATGATAGCCCTAAATATATGAACTAAAACTGTAAAACTCTTTGAAAAAAAACATGGGAGTAAAGTTCAAATTACTTTAGGCTTGGCAATTGGGTAAGGTACAAACAACAAAATAAAATAATGAATTAAATACAGATTAAATGAACTTCATAAGACTATTAAACCCGGAATCCAGGACAGATGATCCCTTCAGGACCAGTGCTGAGAGTGGTGATACTGTGAGCATGGAGGGAGGGTGGGATGGAAATGGGGAACCGATTACAATGATCTACATATAACATCCTCCCTGGGGGATGGACAACAGAAAAGTGGGTGAACGAAGATGCCAGACAGTGTAAGATAAGACAAAATAATGGCGAAGAAAGCTGATGGTGCCTGGCTATCAAAAGATATAGTGTCTGGGGTCTTAAAGGCTTGAAGGTAAACAAGCAGCCATCTAGCTCAGAAGCAACAAAGCCCACATAGAAGAAGCACACCAGCCTGTGTGATCACGAGGTGTCGAAGGGATCAGTTATCAGGCACTATCAGAACAAAATATGGTGAATATGGGGATGGGGGAGTGCAAATATTTTGAGAATGATGCAGGCAATGAATGTACAAATGTGCTTTACACAATTGATGTATGTATGGATTGTGATGAGTTGTATGAGCCCCTAATAAAATGATTTTTTAAAAGACAAAATAATAATTTATAAATTATCAAAGGTTTATGAGGGAGGGGGGAGCGGGGATGGAGGGGGGAAAAATGAGGAGCTGATGCCAGGAGCTCAAAGTGAAGAGCAAATGTCTTGAGAATGATAAGGGCGATGAATGTACAAATGTGCTTGACACAGTTGATGTGTGTATGGATTGTGATAAGAGTTGTATGAGCCCCCAAAAAATGTTTTTTTAAAAAGACTGTAAAACCTTGTGCATTGCAGGGCAGTACCTAGAAAATGACAAGACAACATAAAGAATAGAATGGGCTGTGATGATTGCAACTTATATATCTAATAAGATTCTATTATCTAGACTATGTAAAGGACCCTTAAAACTCAACAACTAGGAGATCATCCAGTACATTCAATATAGTTTTCTCCAAAGAAGATATAGAAATAGCTGACAATCAAATGAAAAAATATTCAGTGTTATTAGCTTTTAGGGAAATACAAATCAAAACCACAATGAAGCCCCACCTCACACCCACTGGAATTCCGATAGTAAGAATATATTGTAGTAAGTGTTGGTGAGAATGCAGAGAAATTGGGATCCTCGTGTACTACAATTAGCAATGTAAAATTGTGCAGTCCCTATGGAAATAGTTTTATGGTTCCCTAGGACCCAACCAGTCCACTTCTGGGTCTATATAGAAAAAGAACTGAAAACAAATATTCAAATGAAACTCACATATCAATCAATATTCATAGCAGCATTACTCAATAGCCAAAAAAGTGGAAGGAAAAAAAAGCCACTCAAATGTGCATTGATAGATAAATGGGGAAAATGCGATCATGTCCATCCAGTGAAATATTACTGGGCCATAAAAATGAAGTGCTGACACATGTTATGACACCAATGAACCTTGAAAGTATTTGGCTAGGTAAATGAAGCCAGACACAAAAGCTCACATATTGTATGATTCCACTCACATGAAATATACAGAAAGCCATCGGGAAAGCAGGTTAGTGATTAGTGCTGGGGACTAGGGAGAGAGAAAATGGGGAATGATTAATTGCTTAATGTGTATGGTTTTATTGTTGTGTGTGTGTGTGGTGATGACAATGTTCTGGAACTAGATAAAAGTGGTGACCACACAATCTTGTAAATTTACTGGAAGCCACTGAATTGTCCATGCTGGAAATGAATGGAGACCATTACTGACCTCCCCTGGTCCCTATTTTCATGGCACAAGAGCCAGACTTGCCCACAGCTCCTTCCTTCTTTACCTACTGTGACACTAACTGTTCCCCTGGACACTCTACTTCTATGCCCGATTTGGTCATTCATTGTAATGGCCACACAGACAATTCTCACAGTTATTGGGAGGGGGGGCGGGGAGTGTTACTAGGCAAATCAATAGATTACAAGTCAGGATCAGTCAATAGTAAGGATATAGTCGTTCACAACCAAACCTCTCTTCAGCCAGAAAATGAATCCCTCTCTGGACTTCAGCCTCTTAGCCATGTGGTCCATTGGCCTCTACTGTCATGGATCAGGAAGCCTATGTGTTTCTCGGTCTCACAGCCCCATAGTCTCAATGCTGCTCCTCTTGCTCGAGCAGCCCCCACCACTGCAGACAGAGATATAGAACAGGCTCTTCTGATGGTTCTGGGCTTTCTCTCTCTGTTGCTGCTTCAAAGATGACTCTGCTGGTGCTGCTGCTGCAAAGATAGCCGAGAAGGTGGTAATAAAAACTGAGTAATCCTCTATATTAGTGTGGTGCACACCCAATTTGCAAAAGCCCACTCAATCATTTGGAGGGACTTAAAGAGACTTAGGTAGAAGAGCCACAATAAGAAATTTCACTCTACCACAGCACACTTTAAAGTTACTTACATAATCAATGTTTTCATGTGAATATTACTTGAATAATTCAAAAGATGATTTTGAAGAGAGGGGAAAAAGATAAGGCTTACCATAAACTTACTACAAAACACCAGTCACAGAGTGCCAAGCTAAACAGATGAAGGAAACAGAGCAGAGAGGTTAGATAAAGATACATGTACATATGCATTTAAGACAGAGTTAGTACCCCGGACTCATGAAGACAAAACAATTTTTTTCAATAAATCTTCCTGAGTCGGTTGAATGTGGAAAACAAAAAGAGTGATAGCCCATACCTCAAACTAAACACATAAATCAATTCTGGGAAGGCTGTAGATCTAAACAAAGAAAGCAAAAAAAAAAGATAGATATTCTTATAGTATAAGAATATCATTCTGACATTGAGTATGGACAGCTTTCTTAAATCAGACACAAGAAATATGATTACAAAGAAATTAATAAAGTAGATTGAAGTGCCTTAAAATTTAGAATTTCTCTTCATAAAAGATAGATAGATAGATAAATAGATAGATATATAGATGATAGATAGATAGATAGATAATTGGAAACATAGAAGAAAATATTTGTAGGAAATATAACTAACAAAAGCTGATATCAAACGTAAAAGAACTCAGAAATCAGTGAGACAGAGAACCCACCAGAAAAAAAATAATAAAGCAAGAGAGCAAATGACAGAAAGGAAATAGCCAAACTAGTAATGCATTAGTCTATGTAAAGGTATTCCCATCATTAACAGCAGAGAAAACTGCTTAAAAATCTAAAGGAGACGACACTATACATCATCCGCTAAGAAGTATGCAAGGAAGGGAAGAGACAGGAATCTCATCGGCTGCTGATGGAAGTTATGGGATGATTCCATCCCTTTAGAAGAGAGTTTGGTATCCTCTTCAAAAGTTGACTGTCGCCTTGCTGCTTCCCTCTCAGAACTATATTCAGCAAAATAGATTGCACCTGAGTATCAGAATACATGGACAAGGAACTTTGTTGCAGATTGTACATAATAATCAAACACCAGAAATACCCCTTTTAAAAATCATCCAAACCCAGTGAAATATAACTTTAATCTGAGCAGGTTTTTCTTTCTTTATGAATCTAGGGAGACCATTTTAATTCCAAAAAAAGCAATGGCTCAATAAAAAAACGAGGCCCAGGGACACTTACAAAGAGAAGAGGAAGAAGCTGACGGATTGACCCTGCCTTCTCCTTTTTACTGAAATCAAAGGCTACTAATGCATACAGTGGTCTCTGCCCCTCCGTCCAGCCATATCTTTTGAAATTCAAATTTAGTCATCTTAGCTTTGAACAGAAAATAAATGATTTGCAACTTTGGGTGAAAGAAAAGCAGATGGCAGATTAATTTTGGTCAGGAATTTCTTTAAAGTGAATACTTGAATGAGTAAGATTGCCCCTAAATCAAAGAAAGATATCTGCTCTTCATTTCTCTTTGACACCTCAAGTGCCCATCGAAAGTTGAGGGGATGAACCAGTGCGGTACATCACCCAGTGCCGTACTATACCGCAATGGAAATGACGGAACTCCAGTCACAGAATAACATGAATGAATCTCAAAAGTATAATGCTGGTGGACATCAGCCAACCATAAAAGAGGACTTAATACTATTCCATTTATATAAAATAAAAAAGCATAACTGATTTATGGCATTATATCCAAAATAGTTGGATTAAGGGATGAGGAAGGATAGTGATTGGGCTTGTGTCGGTAATGTTGATTTCAGGGTAGTGGTACATGTGTACATTAACTTTAGGAGCATTCAATATGCTGTTGGCTAGCAATTTGTACACTTTTTAGGTATATACATTAGGCTTCCTCTTTTTAAGTTATGAAAACTAACTTGTAGTGTTAGCAGTCAGAATAACACTTTTGGAAAGAGGAATGGGAAGTAATTGGGGATGTGTTGTGAGGGGAGAGCTCACATGAAAAGTGGCTCTGGGTTTGTGATCATTCATAGAGGGGGATATTTGTTTTCTGCATGGTTCAGTATGTATGCTGTCATTAAATGTTTTTCAAAAGACAAGAAAATGAGAAGAATATTGTCATTATAATATGAGCGTGATTGTAATAATATGTTTCTTCATATGCAGGACAGTATACAAGAGATCAAGATAAACATTAGAAACGTTTACTTAGACAAGGCACGACTATATTTACACTTCTTCATACTCAAAGTTGCGTACAAATAGCACAAAGCAATATTTTGTTGTCGTTCAATGCAGAGTGCAGTCCATTTCCCTGGGGCAAGGCCAAGGACCCATCGCTGAGAGAATGATCAAGGATGGAATGAAGACAGGGAACTGGGTGTTTCTGCAAAACTGCCATCTTGCTGTTTCGTGGATGTTGGCAATGGAAGAGCTCATTAAAACCTTTACAGATGCAAGTATGTTGAGCACCTAGCCTTTGCATAGTAATACAATTGTTATGTCACATTTTGTTAGTCAACCTAATCTCTGTAATAGTTCTTCCTTGTAGACAGGGTATTAAAGAGAAAAAAAGTGAGACCCAGGAAGGTTTAGTTGAGTTACACAACTGGGCTGTGAACCATGGTATCGTTTCTGTTTTATGTGACCTTCTATGGAAGGACACTTGAATGCAGCCTACGAGTTGACTGACCTATGGGCATGGTAGCTTGATAAAAATAAATAAATAAATGAACTAGGCAGAGATGGAAATTAAATCTTTCCCTGTAAAATGAGCGATGCTAAGGAAAGGAGTTCAACTTTCCCCCATTTCTTTTTTTTTCCAATCATTTTATTAGGGGCTCATACAACTCTTATCACAATCCATACATACATCAATTGTGTAAAGCTCATTTGTACATTCATTGCCCTCATCATTCTCAAAACATTTCCTCTCCACTTAAGCCCCCGGCATTAGGTCCTCATTTTTCCCCTCCCTCCCCGCTCTCCCTCCCTCATGAGCCCTTGATAATTTATAAATTATTATTTTGTCATATCTTGCCCTGTCCGACGTCTCCCTTCACCCACTTTTCTGTTGTCTGTCCCCCAGAGAGGAGGTCACATATAGTTCCTTGTAATCGGTTCCCTCTTTCCCCCCATTTCTTAAAGGAGTGCTACTATGTTGTACCCTCTGTAGTCCACACAATGACGCTTTGACGGGTGCCTCTTAGCCACACATCCCAGCATGATTCCCAGGGGTGGACATCATTTTCTCTGCCATTCCAGAACGTGTGGCTAGCAAGAAAGAAGCTAGAACTCTAATCATCTAAAAATGTTCCTATAAAAATAATTAAAACCTTAGGAGCTGCATTATTAGTAACAAACCGGGCAGGACGCCATCCACCAAACTACAGGACACCTGGGAAGACTCTTGGGCTATGGTATCCAGAGCACTTGCACGTCTCGCCTTTGGTGCCCCATCAGCTAGGCCTTCCTGGGAAAGTGAGAGCTTTATAGATAACCCGAGACTTGACCTTACTCACTGCTACCTATTACCATGCAGAAGGAGCCCTAGTGGAGCAACAATGAAGCACTCAACTACTAATGGAAAGGCCGGCCATTCAAAGCCACCGAGCAAGCTACCTGGGAGGAAGACCTAGTAGTCTGCTCCCTTAAAAAATTACAAAGGAGGAAATCCTGTGGCATTTCTATGAGTTGCAAAGTTGATTTGATGGCCCATAACAACAATTGGAAAAAAGCAAAACCACCCTCGGTCCCACTGAGTTGATTCCAACTCATAGTGACCCTATAGGACAGGGTAGAACTGACCGTGTGAGTTTCTGCGACTGTGACTCCATAAGAAGGGAGTAGAAAGCTTTGCCTTTCTCTCTTGGAGCAGCTTGTGGTTTCAAACTGCTGGCTTTGCGGTTAACAGTCCAAAGTGCAACCACTGCACCAGCAAGGTGCCTAACACCAATTCAAGGACAGAGGGACTCCTTGAAGAGAGGGGTCTGCCTACACCTCGCCACCAGTGTTCTTCTGAAAATGTAGAAACCCAGTTCTCTGATAGACAGGAGCTTGCCAAGTGAAAACCCATCAGACAGCAGCTGAGAATTAGCTGCCTCTTGTTTCTTCAAGGATCTCTAATGATTAGGATTATAATTAAGAAGAAAGTACTGGTGTTAAGCTGTAATAGTGAAGTGTGTTAGGCCAGTTGTCTAGAGAAACAAAACTGATGACACACATTTATGTATCAAAGGCATCCCAGCCAGTCCAACTTCAGTCTCTGGATCCGATGCTAGCAGGGCCCTTTGCAGACTCACATAGCTGCAGGCCTATGACACAGAAGGGTGACGAGGGAAGCAGGAAGGCCACAGGCAGTGGGTGCAGAGTTGTTTGGGTCCGAGGTCAGTGGGAGCAGGGCAGGGCACCAACAGCTCCTAGGGTCAGCCGTCTACATGGGGCCACCCCTGGAGGCCGACACAAAATAGGAGCCAGCAAGGAGGGCACCGGGTAAGAAAGAGAAAGACGCACCCTGTGTCTGTCTTATCAAAAAGCCACACTCTCCAGGAGGCAGCATCAGGCGGTGACCTGACTGATAGGGTAGATTCCACTCTTACTTTCATAAGGTTCAAGTTGACACAAAAATCTAACCATCACACAAAGACACCTAAAGTGCAATTTGCCATGGCTATATGAAATGAGCTCTGCTTGTCTGTCAGTTGCTGGCATGTTCCTGTGATGCTGGGAGCCATGTGCCAGGAGATGAGCCCTCAGGTTGGAAGGACACCAAAAATACAGCTGACCAATAGCTGTCTTCTCAAAGGAGAAAAGATCATAATGATGTGGGTGGAGTGAAGCCTATGGGACCTTCATTTGCTGATGGGACATGACTAAAAATGAAAAGAAATAGCTACATACATTAATAATTAGAACATAGAATGTATGAAATATGAACCTAAGATAATTGGAAGTCATCAAAAAATGAAACGTAATGCATAAAGATCATTATCCTAGACATTAGTGGACTGAAATGGACTCTACTATCGGCCACTTTGAACCAGGCAATCTTATAGTTGACTATATGAGGAATGAAAAATCCCAGAGAAATGGCCTCTCATGCATTGTAAAAAAGAGTATTTCAAGACCTATCTTGAAATACAACACTATATCTGATTAGATAATATCTACACATACTAGGAAATCCAGTTACTAGAATATTATTCAACTTTATACAGAAATTGAAGAATTCTGCCAACTTCTCCCATCTGAAATTGATCAAACATGCACTGATAATTTTTGGCAATTGGAATGCAAAAGTTGGAAACAGCAAGAAAGGAATATTAGCTGGAAAACATAGCCTTGCTGATAGAAATGAAGCTGGAGATCACATGGTAGAATTTTGAAAGACCAATAACTTCTTCATTGCAAATACATTTTTCAGTGACATAATGGCAACTGTGTACTTGATATTTACCAGGTGGAATACACAGGAATCAAACTGGCTGCATTGGTGGGAAGAGACAATTGAGAAACCCAATATCAGCAGCCAAATCCAGGCCAGGGGCTAACTATGGAAAAGACCATCAATTACTCAGTTCAGGTTGAAGTTGAAGAAAATTAAAACAGGTCCATGAAAGTAAAATACAACCATGAGTATGTCTTACCTGGATTTCCAAACCATCTCAAGAATAGATTTGACTGGGAAGAGGGTGGGGAGAGTGGAAAGAGTATGGACGAGTGACTTAAACTGTTGGATACAGAATTGATAGAAATATAAAAATCTCTCACCTAATTGACCATAAAAAAATTCATTAAAAAGAGAAAATAACTATCATAAGGGGAAAAAAGAATAAGGGTTCCTGGGGGGATATGGTGGGGAGAAGGAGGGGACAAGGGGGAGCTGATATCAAGGAGTTCAAGAAGAAAAATGATTAGAAACTAATTGTGGTAACAATTGTATCATACTGCTTGATGTGATTGAATGGTGGAATGTTATGTCATCTATAAGAGCTCCTAATAAAACGATTAAAGAAAGAGAGGGAGAAAATAAGTCAACAAAGTAAAAAAAAAAGTATCTATTTAATCATTGAACACTAATGACAGAAGACCTGACACATTATGAGATAATTTCAAAATCCTCATACCTGAAGAAAACAAAAAGTAATTTAAAAGACAGGAAAGATCACAGTGGATATCAAAAGAGACTCTGAAACGTTCTCTTGATTGCTGAGCAGTTAAAGCAACGAGGAAATGATGGAGTAAAAGAACTGACCGGAAAATTGCAAAGGACCGCACAAGAAGGCAAAGTACAGTGCTATGATGAAGCGTGCAAAGACAGTGAGAGAGCCAAGCATGAAGAACACAGTCAACGTTTTAAGCTAAAAGAGCCGGGGAGCGGGGAATCCAAGCCTCAATCTCAATATTAAAAGATCCTATAGTCAGAATATTGAACTATGTAGGAAGCAGCAAATGAAGACGGAGGAATACACAGAGTCACTGTATCAGGTAGCCAGCCGTTTCAAGGGGTGGCACATGATCAAGAACCAGCGGTACTAAAGGAAGAATTCCAAGCTGCACCGATGGCATTCGTGAAAAACAAGACTCTTGGAATTGGCAGAACACCAACTGAAATGTGTCGATAAGCTGATGAAGCACTGGAAGTACTCACTCACTTATGCCAAGACATGTGGAGACAGTTACCTGGCCAACCAACTGGGAGAGATCCGTATGTGTGCCCACTCCAAGGAAAAGTGACCCAATAAAATGAGGAAATTATCGAACAATGTCATTAATATCAAATATAAGTAAATTTTCACTGAAGATCATCCAACAATGGTTGCAGCAGTATTATTGACAGGCCCTTACAAAGAGTTTACACTTTTTTTCCCACCTTAATATGGTGACTTCTTGTCAGAAAATGCTCTCAAGGATTAAACAGTCTCTTGTTTTGTCTTTGTTCTAAAACAGATATCGTGATGAAGGACACTTTCCGTCTTTTTTTAAGTTCCATGCCAAGTAGCACATTTCCTGTGACAGTTCTGCAAAATTCTGTCAAGGTAATGGACGCCCGATTTGAGCAATTCAGATGATTGACCTCGTGTTCACTAAGTGGGCGGTGGAAGGCCGTGTCCTTTCACCTCATAACAAGCAAGGAAACAGTTCCCCAGCCCACATCCTGTCCCTGGAGGCCCCACTCATTATACTTGTCCTCCTTTTTCACGCCACCAGAAAAGGCCAAGGGTGCCAAATGATGAGAAAGGACGCCCTCTCGGGGTTGTTTCACAGGTGATAATACAGCTGTTGTAGTCCCGTGCAGAAAGTTCCAATCCACGGGAAAACTCTGCCTATGGAGGAAGCAGGAACAGAGAGTGCTTGCCTCTTCTCTCCCTGCCCCATGTTATCAAGGCAAGGAGGAGGAGGAGGCCATATGTTGGGATGACTAGAAATCACCCCATGGAAAAGGCTTAACCGGGTTTTCTGGCCTGTGTTGAGATAAACGAACCAAATAAAAACATGTGAGGTCCTATGTAGAGGATACACCATCATGGTCTGAGGACACAGCCTACATGGGATAGAGAGGGGCCCCGATTGGCAGGAATGGCCCATGGGCATCTGACCAGTGAGTTATGTGTGCGTGTTTGCGCGTGCTCACGCTATTAACAAATAATGCAAATCTCTCAATTCTCTGCCATTTGTATTCTGTCTAAATCCAGGTAACAAATGAGCCACCAAAAGGCTTACGTGCAAATATCCGACGAGCATTTACGGAAATGACACCTTCGTTTTTTGAAGAGAACATACTCGGGAGGAAGTGGAGACAAATAATATTTGGCATCTGTTTCTTTCATGCAATTATTCAGGTATGCTCACGTCTGCTTTTTCATAGGCAAATAGGCAAATGCATTCTTAGGGGAAAAAAACTCAAATCCTAAAAACAAGATCAGACTTAGTGGTCTGACAGAGACCGGGCAACACCTGAGACTGTGGCCCTTCAGCACCCTTCAAACTTGGACCTTGACCGCCTCCCCATCACAGGCCTACAAAGTGAGTACTGACACTTGAGGGGTTTGGACAGCTCGGTAAATCAACCCGTGCAGACCAACGGGGCCCCCTTGGCCTGAAAACAGAGCTCCGGAGGCAGGAATGGAAACCGGGAACTCGGGAGCATGTGGCAGGAGCGCTGTTGCACCGAGGGGGTCACAGCCACCGCCAGAAAACCAAAGAGAGTACGTGATCGAATGAAAACGAGCTTCCTTGTACCCCAACTACACTGAAAAGTAAAACGGAAATGGATGGTTATAAATAGCACTGGGAAACCCAAGTTTGCAAACTTGAAAAAGGAAGAAAAGATTCTGAAAAAGAGAAGTAAAAGGTAAAGGAGTGGGTCACCACCCCATGGGAACTGTAAGTAAAGCATAAAACAATTGAAAGAAAAAAAAAGTAAAGGAGTAGTTTTCGATGGCACTGGGACCCTCTGAGACGCCTGTGCTGTGTGGGTCTGAACCCAAGTTGCCCTAACTCGCTCCATGCGCCCCCATTCTCCGTGCCTCGAGACCCCACGGTTTCGGTTTCCACCTCTGTCCTCAACTCTGGCTACAGGAAGCATGCAGTCAGTGAAATGTAGCAGGTGTGACATGTGTGGCCTCAACCCTGCCTCAGTCCCCAGATCTGCTTCTCTTCCAGACCCGAGGTCTGATAACGATCGTGTCTTCTCTTACTCGCCTTCGATTGGAACTTCAGTCTCAGAACTTCACGCTGCCTTTTCCACACATATGTATCTTGTCAGTCATTCAGTCCTCATTTCTCTGGCAGTGTTTTCCTCTTACCTACTCCAGTGGGCTCGGCACGCTGAGCACTGTCCTGTGACAGCTATGGAGCAGGGTCAAGTCCCCAGAAAGATGACCCCCTTCTCCTCCTCACTGCTCTGCCCAGGTACCCATCGTGTGTTCTTGTACTTGCCTCTCTGACTCCCTATCTCTAGATGTAGTATACATAGATTGGCTGCCTGGTTTTCAAATGCACGCCACCTACAGAAAAAGAAACAGTAAAGATAAAAAGTAATTAAGGATCCGAGAACTCTGGTGGCATAGTGGGTCATGCATGGAGCTGGGAACCACACACACAAAAATAATTAAGAATACAAGCTGTGGGATAATTAAGGGAAGAGGTGAACTAGAGAAAGCTCAAGGGGCAATGGGTGTGAGGCCCTTGTGCCAGTAACAAAAGCAGCTGATTTGAGGAGTTGGTTTAAGATTTAGGGCCATTTTGAGAGCAAGAGGAGGGACCTTGGGACAAACTTTCTGGTATATTCAGCAGCTCAGAATAAGGTAGACAAAGGGATAACAAGAGGAGAAAATGTTTTAGCATGGGGTGTTATGAGACAAGAATCATGGTTCTGTGTGTCGATTTTTTAAAAAGAAGTTACTGTGCAGACATTAGTGTGTGGTCAGCATAGCATAGCTTGGCTGAGAAGTGGACAGTCAGTATTTTTATGTCAAAAGACTCAAAGGTTGCATTTTTCCCTATTTTAATTGGGGAAAAACGTGTTATTTTATTTGCCCTGAAGAACAGCTATTCTTTTGACAGATCTATCAAATTAACAGAGGCTACAATTTTTTATAGGAAATATAAGGGAAGAAGCAATACTGAAGGAAGAAATGGCTGCTCTGTCTCTATACTTACGGTGAACATTTTCAGATATTTTGCAATATAAGGGTGCCCTCCTGCAACAACAACAACAAAGCCTTTTGTCTTCAGTGTTTTACACAAGTGAGTTGCATCCAATCTGATTTTACACCGTTTTCATTTTCCACTGCAGGAGAGAAAAAAGTTTGGCCCTCTTGGTTGGAACATCTGCTATGAGTTTAATGACAGTGACAGGGAGTGTGCACTGCTGAACCTGAACCTTTACTGCCAAGAAGGAAAGATCCCCTGGGACGCCTTGATTTACATCACTGGTCAGTATGCCCATGGGCCAGAGCATCCAGCCGGGCACCAAAAGTTGCTGGTTTATGCCCAGCTGGCCCACAGCAAGACGGTGTCTTCCCCCCAGTGTTTGATGATGGTGCCGATATTCCTGTTGTGAAGAAAATGCTATGATAAGAATATTATGAAAACATTTGTATTTACACATGGGAATGGAGTAGATGTATTCCCAAATATTGATAATAGCTAACATTTAATCTACCCCTCGCCCTTTCAAGCATTCCCCATGATTTCCGTACTTAATCCTCACAACTCATATATTGAGAGCTGTTATTCCTCTCATCTTACACAAGAGAAAAGCACACAGTTAATCTGCCTCCAGAGTCACTCCTCTTAAATGCAAAAGATTTTTTGTAACTGTTGTATTTGTGCAAAAAGAAGACACGATACTGAAATTACAAATTTCATGACAAATTTTAACTATGGTCATGTGGGATCTTACCTTCAGAACTGGATCCAGCGTACCTGTGTAACCCCAAGTCACGACGGAGGGACGGTTTGCGCTGAGATAGCTGAGGGGAAGAGAGATCTCTGAGAAGGGCAGGGAGGAGAGACCAGGTGTGTGGGAATGGACGGTTTTCTCTGGTTATGAGGGAACTGGGAAATGACAGAGGGGTAGAACCTTGAACTGCAGATGACACTTTGAAACAAGTGAATAGAAAGAAGCCAATAACAGTGAGACTAGATGAAGACCAGCTCCCAGGATGACCACAGGGGGAGGGCTGCAATCTGCTAGGCCAAGCAGAAGACAATATTTTATACTTTCACCTCCAGGCTTTCAAATGGTGCTGAGACTGATTAGCAAAAGTGGTCAGTGGGCAGAATTTGACTGGAGCCCTCTACTTAGCCCAAACTTTCCAATTCTTTATTTTTGTTTTCGCTCCTTCACTCTGAGATCATCTGAGTTTTCAGGTAACCTGGGTCTCTACTGCTATGAAAGTTACTGCGTTTTTAAAAGAATAAGAAGGAGCAAAAGAAGATGTACTCGTTCTCACTATTTCTATTCAACATTGTACAGGAGCTTCCAGCCAGGAAAATTAAACAACAAAAGACATTCACATTGGAATGGGAAAAGTAAACTTGTCTTTGTCAGCAGATGGCTGACAAAGCAAGTAAAAGTAATAAACAAGATCAGCAAGGGCATAGGAGACAAAAGCAGTGTGCAAATATTACAAAACTCATTTCTTAAATTCAATCAGAATAACATCAAAAAGAATAAAGTACTTAGGGATAAATTAACAAAAGAAATCCAGACTGACATACTGAAACTGCAAAACATTGTTTAAAAAGTTTCAAATGCTATAAATAAATGGAGATAAGTCCATGCTCGAGGATTCAAAGACTTAATATTGTCAAGACGGCAATCCTCCCCCCATAGTGATCTGTAGACTCAGTGCAATCCTAAGAAAATCTCTTCTCATAGTTTTGAGGTGGTTTGAACTTTCATATAGAAGTGCAAAGTACTCAAAATTTTTAAAAAATTAAAAAACAAAGTTGTAAAATTTACATTTCTTTTTTTCCCCATGAAATTTACATTTCTTAATCTGAACACTTACTACAAAACTCCAGTAACAAAGACGGTACTGGCATAAACCTATGGCCCTCAAATCGTTTCCAGCTCGATTTGAAACCTTATATAGGGTTTCCAGAAAAGTACATCATGGCAGGAGCAAACAGCTCCTCCTCCTCCCCAGAAGCGGCTGGCAGGGTTAAGCGTCTACCCTCCCCTTCAGCAGCCCAATGCCTAACGCACAGTGCTACAGATGCGTCCAGAAATATCCCCTTGCATTTATGTTCGACTGGATTTTTATAAAGGTGCCAAGACAATTCAATGGAAAAGAATGGCCTTTTCAACAAACGGCTGGACAATTAAATGCTGACCTCACACCATACGCAGAGTGTCACTCAGATCAATGAGAGACGCAGATACAAGAGCTGAGACTATAAAGGAATCGAGGAAGGCTTAGACATAAACGTCTGTGGCCATGTGTTAGGCATGGTTCCCTTAGCTACAACGCCAAAAGCACAAGCAATAAGTGGTTTTTGGTTTGTTGTTAATGATAACATTTTTAAACTTATCAAGAAAGTGAAAAGACAAGCCACAGGCATATTTGAAAATAATATAGTTAATAAATAACTTGGTGTCTAAAGACATTAAGAACTTTTACAACTCAATAATAATGAGGGAAATAATGAAATTAAAATCTGAACAAAATATTTGAAAAACAAGCAAACATTTTACATTTTACCAAAGAATAAACTCAAGGGGCCAATAAATATAGGAAACAGGGCTCCACTCGCCATTCACCGGTTGCTTTCCAGCAGCCACGCTACAGAGCAGAGCGGAGCCACTCCACGGTTTCCGTCTGTCAGTCTTTATAGAGGCAGGAAAGAGCCACCCCTGTCCCTCACAGGGCGACGGGGGCTCAAACGCCCCACCCTTCCTGGAGCAGCTGAGGCCACCCCTGGGCCACCACGGCTCCTTCCGTTAGTCGTGACGCAAAGGAAGAGGAGAGCCACGATGCTGCTCTGCAAACCTTCACCCAATTCACAACAAAGAGTGTGGTTTTTAATTTTTCAAACAAATACATGCAACATTTCTTACACGCACAAAAAAAGTTCTCCTTAATTGCCAGTAAGACCGGTTTCCTCTATGATACATGCTTTCTCATCGAGTGTATGAAGCTGGTGATTGGTGTTTCATCCCTGTCAAGAATGGTGCTGTGACGCAGGTCAGAATTGCATTTTAATTCTTGATTCCGTTGGGTAGTATTAACATTTTCACAGTACGAATTCAGTGAAAGGAAATTCTGATCTGGTGTGTCCATTTTCAATAGCAAATGAATGTGTATATAAATAAGCCTAATAAAGTTTGGGTATACTTATCAATTAAGCAAACAATAACATATTTCACCGTGCAAACTTTTTTTCAGGTGAAATTACTTATGGTGGCCGAGTTACAGACACCTGGGATCAAAGATGCCTTCGTACTGTCTTGAAAAAATTTTTTTCTCCTGAGACACTAGAAGTCAATTATAAATACTCTGAATCAGGTGAATGAGTTCTCAATATTCTTAGAAAGATTTTTGACAGTACCTCTGGTATCCATTGAGGAGTTCACTATGTCCGGTCTGACCCCCAGCACCCCGACCACCACCCCATTTCCATGCTTGACCTTCTTCAAAGCTAGTTTTGTTGTTAGAGGATAAGGATATATATTAGCAGCAACACTTCGAATTTCTATTTTAAAATTGGTTGTGCTTATATGTATTTTCAAAGTTACATTCTAATACATTCAGACTGTAATGAAAGAAATGCTCTTTTTTTAAATAATCATTTTATTGGGGGCTTTTACAGATCTTATAACAATCCATACATCAATTATATTAAGCACACTTGTACATGTGTTGCCATCAACATTTTCAAAACATTTTCTTTCTACTTGAGTCCTTGGTATCAGCTCCTTTTTGCCCCCTGCCTTCCCTACCCACATTACTCTTCCTGAGGGGTTTATCTGTCCTGGATTCCATGTGTTGATAGCTCTTATCTGTACCAGTGTACATGCTCTGGTCTACCTAGATTTGTAAGGTAGAACCGGGGTCATGATAGTGGGAGGGAGGAAGCATTAAAAAACTAGAGGAATGTTGCGTGTGTCGATGGTGCTATATTGTACCCTGGCTGACTCGTTCCTTCTGTGTGAGCCTTCTGTGAGGGGAGGTCCAATTTTCTACAGATGGGTTTTGGGTCTCCACCACAGCCTCTCTCGTTCACATCGATATAATTGTTTGTTGGGGTGTTCTGGTACCAGATCCCATCAACACCTCATGATCACACAGAAAGTTTCATTACAATGAGTTGAGTCAAAAACAGGTCTTATGGGTTGGTGAAGCTCAGCAAATAGATGAATGAATCCTAAGAGTGGACCTCTTTGGATGAGGCGATCAGGTTCCGGCACCAACTCATGACCATCCTATAGGACAGAATGGAACAGCTCCTTTTCCTGTGGAGCAGCTGGTGGATTTGAACCACTGACCTTGCAGTTAACAACACAGTGCTTAAACCTCTGTGCCACTGACTTGCCTTGAGTAGTGAACAATTAGCATATCAAAGCTCCTCGTTCTTAGTTGAAAGAGACTGATCCTCAGAGTTCATAAGACCCAACTGTCTATCCTGGAATTTGTATGACTCATGGAGTAACCCTACATGTTAATGTCTTGCAAACGTAGCTTTTGGTTTGGGGGCCTGGGGAGGGTTGCTGTTCATCAAACAGAAAAAAAAGCTGTCTCGAACACAGGGTCAGTTTGGAACCTTCATGGAGGCGGGCCTTTCAGCAGCATAGTCCTACTCAAGGAAGCTCGAAATGGTCTGGAGGAGACACCCGAAAAGTCCAAGACACGCCAGTGCAAGCCAGGAAGCTTGCGAAAGAAAAAGCCCTTTTTCGATGTGGGGCAGCTGACTGCAGCCACCATCAGAACCAGGCAACGATGTACCAAGCCCAGGGGCACAAAGCCAGCCCATTTGACACAAGTTTACTTTGCCTTTTTCATAACAGGCATCTATTTTGCACCCTTGGCTGACAGCCTACAGGAGTTTAAGGACTACATTGAACATCTGCCTTTGATAGATGACCCAGAAATATTTGGAATGCATGAAAATGCCAACTTAGTTTTCCAGGTATGTGGCCTTTCAACCTACAATACATATTCACATTTTATCTATAAACTTGAAGCTTCAACAATCACCTCACCAGTTGTGTAAGTTATAATTTTCGTAAATAGATAAAATATTCCACCTTGACTTCATTATTTAGCCTGTTCCCTTTGGACCCTTCACCATTACTCTAAACTCATCGTGCAAGTCCCCTGTCACTACTGACCCCTGAAACCCCCTACCTTCTACTTAGTCCATTTCTGCCTGCTCACTGTCCACCACAACACAGGGGTTTGGGGTAACAATCCTGTCCTTCTTGCTCCATGCTAGGCACCTTATGCCATAGTGCACAAAAGTTCATGGTTCTATATAGCTTCAGGTCACAAAAGTACAGTTACAAATACCCAAAGGCAATAGATTAAAATGATTTCCTAGTGCCAGACCACAGCAATAGGTCTGGCTTATTCTCTGTACAAACAGCCTTCTGGTTTACCTAAGGATAGTCTGATTACCTAAGTCAGTTTACCCTCTAGTTTTCTCTTCTACCATGGTCAGCCATGGATGGGAATTCAAACTCATGAAATGGGTATTTTCCCAGAGACCCTGAAACACTCTCGAGCAGTGGTGCTCAACCTTCCTCAGGCCGCGACCCTTTCATACAGTTCCTCATGTGGTGGTGACCTCACAACCATAAGATTATTTTCGTTGCTACGTCATAACTATAATTTTGCTACTGTTACAAACCGGGTGACCCCTGTGAAAGGGTCGTTCGACCCCCAAAGGGGTCACAACCCACAGTTGAGAACCGCTGCTCTAGAGGTTGGGGACTAGGTTTGACCTCAGCAGGCTTAAGGGCCATCCTCTTTCTTTTCAAGTTAAACTTTGAAATTATATATTGAGAAAGAATGAGATCTGCCACATCACACACACGAGCTCCAGGAGTAGGTGCTTGGACACCTTATTTCTGGCCTCTGGCATTAAATCCGCCATTCGGCAAGGAGTTAAAATAACCTATCTTGGTTTTCTAAGACATGCTCTGCTTTCAAGAAGAAAAAGGTGGACAAGCATACTGTTAGTATTTCTTTACCACGACTGATTTGCTCTGGATAGGAGCCTTGGTGGTGCAGTGGTTCTGATCCCCATGATCAGCAGTGCAAAACCGCCAGCAGCTCGGAGGGAGAAACACTGGGCTCTCTACTCACATAAAGAGGCACCGGCTCGGAAACCCACAGGGGGTCCGTCGTGAGTCCACATTGACGTGATGGCAGTGAGGTTGGTATTTTGGTTCTGGATTTGCTCAGGAGTAGTGAAGGCGAGAGAAGGGAAGGGGCTGTGGTGGGCATGAGAAGACTCCCTGCATCCTGTAAGCAGGGAGGCAACATTGTGTACCAGGGAGGGTAGTTTTGGGTGGTCTTGGGTAGGTTCTTCTGTTCAGCCTCCTGTAGTACATACCCCACTCTCATCCCTTTCCTTTAGGGCAAGTGTCCTTTCCCCATTCTATGAACTTTTCTTTTTTTTTTTTTTTTAATCATTTTATTAGGGGCTCATACAACTCATCACAATCCATACATACATCAATTGTGTAAAGCACATTTGTACATTCATTGCCTTCATCATTCTCAAAACATTTCCTCTCCACTTAAGCCCCCAGCATCAGCTCCTCATTTTTCCCTTCTCTCCCCACTCTCCCCTCCCTCATGAGCCCTTGATAATTTATAAATTATTATTTTGTCATATCTTTCCCTGTCCAACGTCTCCCTTCACCCACGTTTCTGTTGTCCGTCCCCCAGGGAGGAGGTCACATATAGTTCCTTATAATCGGTTCCCTCTTTCCAACCCATTCTCCCTCTGCCCTCCCAGTATTGCCACTCACACCATTGGTCCTGTAGAGATCATCCGCCCTGGATTCCCTGTGTTTCCGGTTCCTATCTGTACCAGTGTACATCCTCTGGTCTAGCCAGACTTGCAAGGTAGAATTCGGATCATGATAGTGGGGGCAGGGAGGACTTTTCATAAAATCTCCAACCACCCTTGCTCCACCTCCACATGAGGGAACAAATAACTCAGTCAGGCCCAGTCTAAGCCACATCCCACCCCTGAGCCGTGCTCATTGGTCCAAGGTGCAGGCATGATGTCCATGTCAGGCCAATGAGAGGTTTTCCTTGAGCTTTTAAAGCACCCTTCTAATAATTTATCACTTTAATGCTTTCTCTTTTTTCTCCTTTTATTCTTTTTCATGAATTGGGTGAAGGTTTGCATTTCTGTTTTCCATTCCACATATTTTGCTTCCTCTCACTGATGACAAGCTTCACAAGCACTTACTCCACTTCTTCCCAGCTGTTTCCGGTTTCTATTCATCCTCCTTCACTAACCTTTCTGAACTTTGTCCTTGGGTAAATGCTGCCTGTTGATCTCAAATGGTTGACGATTCTGTGGACCGCTTGAATGTCATCTCCCGTAATGAGCTGCCCATCGTTTGACTGAAAACGGAGCCCAGGGAGTGCGCCCATTGCCAGACCTGCGGAGTGACGAAAGGGGTTCTTTCTTTATGATCTGAGTTTCTGCTCCACATGCTCCTCCCACTCTATCTGGAACCTTCGAATGTGATCCCTTGCAGGGCACGTGGTAGCGGTAGCCAGACACCATCTAGTTTGACTGGTTTCCGGGAGGAACATTGTAGAACTTGCAAAGACGGAGAATGAAATTCACATACAGATTACATTCCCAGGATTCTGTACAGGGTACAGATGCCCCCCGAGGTTGATGTACTGTATGGCCTACTCACCTCATAGAATGAGACACAATCACTAAAGGCAAGGGTGGCGGACCCTTTTCAAGGATGGTAAAATGCTCCCGAGACTGAAAACGTGAATTGGAATTGTATGGACACGATCTTGTAAACTAGATGCATGGATACAGAGAAGATGTCCTAGTAAGGGAAAATCCAAAATGTTTGAAATCATCCTTGCTGGACAGCAAGACCTTGAGTATTTCTTCATGCTTTTCTACACTTTCTAAAATTTTAATGGCAAGCCATTAAATAGGGTGTTTCCACTTGGGAAAGATGCCATATAGTTAAAAGTGTGTCCTAAAACTGGGTTCTCATTATTTCTTCCTCATTTCTGTACCTTCCCTTTAGATGATTAGCTAAAAGATAATCACATATAACACAACTGTGTATGATGCATTTCCAAAGAGCACATTTTACCAACTCTATCATTCACATAAGGTTTCCCATTGTGCTTCAGAACTATCATTTGTTCTAGAAGTAAACGATGTGTGCTGACCAATGACTCTTCCACCATTGAATGGCTGCTGTTCTGTTTCTTTCTTACTTCCCGTGTAGTACAAAGAGACCAACACTTTGATCAACATCATCCTGGAAGTTCAGCCCAGGTCATTTTCAGGCGGTGGGGGAAAAAGTAATGATGAAATTGTTCAAGAACTTGTTGCTTCTGTCCGGGCCAGAGTGCCAGGTAATCAATAATCCCTAGCCTATATCAGTCATGACATTTTAAAGAATAAATTCAAAGTGAGTTGAGTTATAAGCAAGACTCCAAACCCACGTAAGACACAGACTTGTCCTTCCATGTCGGACTCTGATGCGAGTTCTGCACTGGCGGATGGGTCCTACAGCACTTCAGCAGCTCAGCTATGAGAAGCCGTAGGAGTGAGTTGGTTTCTAACCCAATGTGACTTCAGCCAGGGCATTTCCTCTCTTCCCTTGGTGTCATTATGCTAATATCTCCAGACCTGCAGAGAGCGAGACAGGGGCCCTTAAATTTAAAAGTTATAAAACGACACTAAAAGCTCACTTCCTCGGCCATACAAGCCACATGTCAAACGCTGCCACATTGGGCAATGCAGATTTTAAAAATCCCATTGTTGTAAAATGTTCCCTTAGACAGCCCATCTCTGGGATCCATTTCCTTTTCGTTTTTCCCTATTCAAGAGAAATGGCTAAATCAATTTCACCTGGTTTGCTGGCAAGCTACGGAATCTTCCTGAATGAGCAAAAGAGATCCATTTCCACACTGACATTTGGCTGTACCTTTAGACTTTATTAGCCTATTCGTCATGGGTCAAGTCCCTGGGGGGTGCCGTTTGTGCCCTGCTACTAACTGAGAGGTTGGCAGTTCAACCATGTGCCATGGCGCCCTAGAAGAATGGCCTGGCAATCTGCGTCCATAAAGATTCCAGCCAAGACACCCCTGTGGCACAGCTCGACGCTGGACCACTGGCGGCCGCCCGCCATGCGTGGGTGCCAGCTCAATGGAATCAGCTCTGAGATGTCATTCTGGGAGGAAGAAAATGGAGGCAAAAGAGGCCTGTGGCTGGCTCTCCCCAGTATCCACACGGCCCCCAGAGAACGGAAGAAGTGTGCGCTCAGAGCCCACGATCTCCTCCTCTGAGCAAACCCTCAAAAGAATGGCTCCTGCAGTCGAGGACTTTGTTGATGTGGAGGTGAACTTAGTCCCTTCTTTCAGAAAGCCATTTTTAATCAATAAGTTGGAGGACTTGGTGGGAAAGGGATGGATAGATTGATGGACAACCAGAGAAATAATGTCCATGTGGTGTGGAGTCCTATTGGCATGTAAGAGAGTTCTCTGTAAGCATCATGGAGTTTGATTGTGAAATTCATTCCTGTATGTGATGCTCAGTAACTTGGAATAAATGCTAAGTCTCTTTCGTCTCTGTTCCCCACCCCTAAGTTTCTCTCCTAGATGCAATGTAGGTATTCAAGGAAACAAATACCTTCTATACTTACATGGTAGAGGAAAGGACTCAGGGTCCCAGGGTAGTTCCCTCTGGTCTCAGGATATCCCTTGTCTTGCCCTGATTCCCCTCAGCCCAGACCTACCTTTCTGTGCCCTCCTGTAGAGCCTCCGCATCCACTATAGAGAGCCTTTCAGGCAAAATCTCCACTCAAACTCAATACTATTGGGCCACCTTGACTTCCCACTCCGTCCTTTTCCCTCCATCTCTCTCCTCTCCTCCCACTGTCGCCTCATTAGGCACAGTCAACCTGTAGCATTTGACTTCAGCAGTCAAAGACCTACTATCCCCCATCCCAGATCCATAGACCACATAGAGTGGCAGAGAAGATGAAAATAGCCACAAGAAGCATGTTTTCAGATGAAAAAATAAGATGCGCAAGTTTAACATTTGAGATACATGGATACATACATGCATAATCTATCACTTGATCCCTGTGCAATTGAATTTGAGGCTCCTTTTCTGTGACTGCTTCTATAATAAGCAGAATGAATTGCCACAGAGCCCTAATTACAGAAACGCTGTCAGATTTAAGGCCTGCATACATGATTTGAATATCAGACGAAATTGGCATGACAGTGTTAAGATTAGCACCTTGCAATAACCTAAGTAATGCAGACAGAAGCCAGGGATGATGCAGCTCCGTGTTTTCCATTCACAGAAGCACTGCTGATGGAGGGTGCTTCAGAGGGCCTGTTCACCAAGGATTCCCAAGGCCGCGTGAACTCCTTGACCACAGTCCTTGGACAAGAAGTGGACCGATTTAACAATCTGCTGAACTTGATACATGTATGGGTATTTACTTTCATTGCTATTGAGTATCAAACTTTGTAGAGAATTGCTTTCGGATATGAGTATGCTGAGAACTCTCTTCCCCTCACCTTGGCATCCCCATTGGGATACGCCAACATCTCTTCAAGCCTAACTTGTCTGAACTTGAATTAATCCCCCTCTAATGAATCTGCATTCCCTATTTCTAATAATGAGACCGCAAGCGTGTGACCTTACAAACCTTCAGTCTCCCCACTGTCACAGTTGGTGGTGGTGGCTGCCTTCACGTTGGCTTTGACTGCTGGTGACCGTCTGCAGAACGGATCAAAGCCTCTCCTGATCTTGCACCACCCCCACGACTGTGGGTCAGGGGAGCCACTCACCTCCACCCTATGTCTCTTCGGGTCCGTCTAATTAGGGCTTTCCTTCATTGTTGCGCGCCTTCTACTTTATCAAGTCAAATTCCTTTTCTAGACATTGGCCACTCCTGGTGACATATCCAAACTAATTAAGAAAAAAACCTTGCCGTCTTCACACCTAAGGAGTTCTGGTTGTATATTTTCTATGCAGATACATTCTTCAACTTATCATTGACTCGTTAAATACTTGATCAGGAACGTCATCAACTGCCATGTGACCTCTGCCTATTTCACATGACACTGAGAGCCCGAGCCGTCATTCTCTCTCCTGGCTTCTCCCTGCATTGTCATTAAGGCCACCACTACCTGGTTCTATTTTTGATATCTGAAATGGAATGCGCCATGTGGTGAAGTGGGTTAAGTGCTGGGTTGCTAACCACAACGTTAGCAGTTCAAAACCATTAGATGGTCTGTGGAAGAAAGATGAGGCTTTCTACCCCCATAAAGAGTTTCAGAAAGCCAAAGGGGCCAACCTCAGGTCACGACTTGGTGACATGGGAGTTAGTTTCTGGCTTGTGAAGATGGAATGCCGGTGTTTCCTCTGGCTGAGAAACTCCTCCCTGCATTCTGCTGCCAATGGTTTCTCAGATCTTCAGACTAAATCTAATTATAATCTTGTGTTTCCTACTATAGGTCTTATGGAAAAAGATGTAGGAAAGTAGAAAGTGTTAAAGAATAAATCTGTAAAAATGAAGGAATGGCTAACTTCATCAATACCTTTGTCTGTTTCTGGGACTATGCTGTGTAGTCCCTGGCCTCACTTTGTGTTTTAATCAACATCAGTTTGGCCCCTGACATCTCCTTGTCTATTTTCCTAGTATTGGTAGTACTTCGCACATCACTAGAAAACCTGAGAGCCATGACCAACTACAGACCCCGTTTCTGTCCTTGGCCAGGTGGCAAGCATCAGCCTGTACTTCTCATGGCCACTGAGAGCCCTGCCATCTCTCAGCACTACGACTGCCCCCCCACCATCTCTTGTTAGAGGGGAAGCAGGGTAAGGGTCCAGTCTGAAGGAAAGGTTTCTCATTCAAGGAGATGCTGTACTAACAACTGGAGGACTGGTCTCCTGTAGCTCTCTCTCACTTCTGATGTAGCTCCTGGGGTCCTCTGGACAGAGATGGCCAGCGGCCTGAGGAAACGCCCTGCTTGGTTCTCATTAACACTCACCATCAGGCCCTCTCTTCCTGTGGACCTGGAGTGGGGCTGGATGCTGGGCAGAAGACCCGGGAGCCATTCTTCTCAGCTTCCGAGGGTGCCCCCCTGATTCTCTTGTTTCCACTGATTGCACACTGCCACTGCTGCCTCACGCACCCTGCACCCACAAACCTTACTTTGTTGTACTAACATTATAAAAATACATGCACAATTGGGGCGGGAGGTGGGGGGGGGGTTGGCCCAGAAGGCTGTGTGCAGAGGACCCTGCAGGGGGTAGGCAGTACCTACCGTCCAGCGCTGTGCCCCTTTGATCACTATTCACCCTAATAAATGACCTTGATCAAGGCGCTGACCTTGCTTTTCTTCTTTCAGACTTCTCTAGAAACACTGAGGAAAGCCATTGCTGGGCTTGTAGTGATGTCTGAGGAGATGGAGAAGGTCTATAACAGTTTCCTCAACAACCAGGTCCCCTCTCTCTGGTCCAACACAGCCTACCCTTCCCTAAAACCGCTAGGATCATGGGTGAAAGATCTTATTCTGAGGACTGCATTTGTGGATGTAAGTAAACTCACTTCTTTGGGGTTTGGTGATACTCATGATGATCAGTGAGGGGTCATGTGAGCCCAGAGAAACAATGGCCAGAAAGGGGGTGCTGGGAACACATCCTGATTATGATACAGTCACATTCCCACATTCACTCTTCATCCAGGCCATCATTGGGACTTCCAGTCTAATTGGTGGCCTCCACTATGGGTAGAGAACCAAGCCAAGAGAAGCATCCTTGCTGGATCTCCCGTCGTAGCCTGGACCTGTGTTTGTGGTCAGGCGGGGCCAGGGAGCAAAGGAGGCAGGGCAAGCTGTAAGAATAGACTGGCTAGGCCCTGCCTCCTAAGAGACCCTCTAGAGCAGCGGTTCTCAACCTGGGGGTCGTGACCCCGTTGGGGGTCGAACGACCCTTTCACAGGGGTCGCCTATTTCCGATGGTCTTAAGAACCAAGACAGTACTCCTCTATCCGTCTCCAGACAGGTCTGCCCACGTGAAGATAGGCCCACATACACGGTCTCCACACCATGAGGCACTGTATTAAAGGGTCGCAGCATTAGGAGGGCGGAGAACCACTGCCCTAGAACATGTCATCTATTTAGATGGCAAAGTCTGCCTCAGAAAGAAGCACATCGCCGTGTAATTGTGTCTCCCTCAGTTGTGGCTCAAAAGAGGACAGCCGAAGTCCTTCTGGATCTCTGGGTTCTTCTTCCCTCAAGGCTTCCTAACAGGTAGGAGCGATTCCCTAGAAAAGCCTGCTGAAAAGCCCACACTTCGTTTGTTACACACGGTTCTTCAGACGCTGGAAAACGGCTGGCTCCTAACGGCCTGTTCATTATAGGGAAGTTCAACAAGGCCCTGCTCATCCTTAATCCCCACCCCCCCACCATCAACGTGGGTGGCATGAATAGCAGATGGCCCCCAGCAACTGAACTCCTGCCCCTCTCAGGCTATAAAGTGTGGGCCCCACTGCTTCCATGGGCTCTCACCGAGGGTTCCAGGGATTCGGTGTGACACTCACCCAGGGCACCTGCCCACTGCTCTCCACCTGCCCCAGCTCCAGCTCGGAGCAACATTGCTCCTTCTGAAACAGGCATTCGCTGTCCCTCCAGCAGCCAGAATCCAGTTAGGAGACGCCCCAGGGTCAGAGCCGCTGCAGAGCTTTCCGACACAGCCCTTCAGCTCTCTCGTCTGTATCTCTAGGAACAGCTGACTGTGGCGCGGGAGACAAGGATGGAAAGTGAGGGAGATAGGGCTGGAAGCCCCTTCCTCTTGCTCCCACTGTCCCTAGTCTCCAGGCTTCCCCTCAGGCCCCTCCCTGGCACCCTGACAGAGCCCTACACTCAGACCCTCTTCCCAATCCTGACGAACACTTGTACAAAAGGTGCAGGCTTCCAGAAAAAGGTATTGGTGGTGAGGACTTCTCTGTGGATGGGAAGCTCTCAAATGCTACAGCAGCCCACTGGGGCATTGGGGAGAAGAACGGAGTTGTTGGGCCCAGGGATCACCCTTCAATCAAAGCCACCAACCTCTAATTCAGACTGCGTGGTGGTGTTTGCAAAACCCAGCTTTCTGGTTTTTGTGTTTACAGGGACTCTCCAGAATCATGCCCGGAAATACAATTTGCCGATAGATGAGCTCAGCTTCAAGTACAACATGATTCCCATCTACCGGGACCAAGCTACAGTGATAGAAGCTGCCAAGGCGGTGCAGTTTGGACAAGAACTGCCCATGGACAAAGAGGTATGACGCCCCCTAACTACTGTTGCAAAACAACAGGGCAGCTCCTGTCCTACTGCCAATCTGTATTTCCACCCATCTCCTTCCCCCACTGCCTCACCCCCCCACCCCACCCCACCCCGCCATGCCATCAGTTTATCTAGGAGAGGAAAGGGCAGGACAGGAATCGCACATGCAAGACCAACTCCCTAACTAGGAATGATGAGAAGTTTTAGGAGCAGCCTAAATTAGTCTGATTTGTAAACATACCGTTTCCCCAAAAATAAGACCTACTTACAGTTTTGCCTCTCGCTGAAATATAAGGCATCCCCTGAAAATAAGACCTCCCCCAAAATAAGGCCCCCCCGAAGCTACCTTAACTCTGGACTCTGGACCGTAGCGGTGGGCGCCACTGCGCAACTCACTGTTGGCTGCAGCGCAGCCGGAGCAGACAGGAAGTGCGAGGTCTCTTGTAATTAAACAATAAACAATAAATGTGTACCATATCCTTCTTCATGGAAAAATAAGGCATCCCCTGAAAATAAGACCTAGCGCCTCTTTGGGAGCAAAAATTAATATAAAACACTGTCTTATTTTCAGGGAAACAGGGTAGTTAAAGCAATGCTTTGATTGGGTTTTTTTTAAGCTATAGTTGCATCTTGATTTAAATTTCATCTGCCAACTTAGCGTTTTCCACCCGCGCAAGGAGCAGACACTTGCAGAGGCTTCCCAGGCGTTTGCTCAGGTGCTGCCTTTGTGGGAGCCTGAGTCGCAGCCATTGCGGTCTTTGTAGGAAGCTTGCTTGGCCCTTTTTTGCTTCCTTGGCAGCCCTGATAGGCTCTTCTCGTTCGGCCTTTCTAACTTCAGGTTTCTGATTCCTCTTGGCCATTAAATCAACAGCAGACGCACCGGTGATGACGCTCAGGAACATGACTGCCTGGCAGGATCTTTTCTTCTGATTCTTCCGATTGCCCCTTGTTGTGCTTCCATCTGTAGAACACAGTCTAGTTTATCTGGCGGGGACTCCTCTTGGAAAGGAATGTGAATTTGCATTTTGCATTAAGAAATTGGAAAACTTTTCCAATGGTCCTGGTGTAGCACCTCCTGTGTCTGGGGTAAATCGTGTACCTGCTAAAACAGCATAGCTCAACCTTCATGGCTGCAACCACCGAGGAACAGGGGAAATGGCAAAGACCTGAGTTCTTTAGACACCTACAGTAACTGTGTCCTCCTTGTGATGGCAATGTAGCAAAAGGATTAAAATACAGCATTTCAGAATCAGAGAGACAAGTTTGAATCCTGCCTCACCAGCTGTGTCGGTGGAACAGTTAGTTACACATCTGCACCTCAGCGTTCCTGTCTATGAGATGGGGCTCATGCCACCCATCTCCCAGTGCAGATTAAATGAACTAGCAGATATGATACAACCAAGACTTGGTAGGCCCACAATAAGTATTATAGGCTAAATTCATTATCTTGGTCAACCATTCAGGTACCTCCCGGCAGATTTGATGTGCTAACTACATGTTATATGACTTTATTTCAAACCCGATAGGAACATGCTACAGATGCACTTTTGACCTGTTCATTTCATTTGCATAGTTTACTCCTTCTAGAGCAGTGGTTGTCAAGGTTCAGTGGCCCCCGCCACCCCCAACAGTCTCAGCACCACCTGAGACTTTGTCAGAAATGCAAATTCGCAGGCCCGCTAAATCAGCAACTCTGGACTGCAGCCCAGCATTTCTGACAGCTCTCCACCGAATACGCCGTGGTAGTAGCTGAAAAAGCAAGGCTTCAGGAAGGCAGAGTAGCATAACACATAGAGCCTGCAACCAGGCCCTCGGGTATCATACTACTCAGATCTAACAGAATGCCTTTTGCCTTTTGCCCTTTGGCAAAATAAGAGAATGATGGACTTACCTCAGATACATGCCTTGACCTATGATATACTTGCCCATATCTTAACCAAAAACTCACTGCCATCGAGGTGAATCAACTCATATAGACCCTCTAGGACAGGGTAGAACTGCCCCTGTGGGTTCCCAAGACTAACTCTTTACAGGAGTAGGACACCTCATCTTTCTCCCTTGGAGCAGCTGGTGGTTTCAACCTGCTGACCTTGTGGTTAGCAACCCAACATAGAACCTACTAACGCTCAGGATTCTGGCCCTGCTCCGCGTCCCTGGCTGGCTCTGACGAGCAGTTTATAGTGACCCCAGGGACTGAGGTTCATGCTACGTCTCTGGTTGTTGGGTCATGTGCACCAAGCCAAGACAATTCCTTAGGATCTCCAAATTCTGTGGAGATTTCAGCTATTGGCTCGATGGCCTCATGGTCTCCCAGCATCTCCTAAACTACGGCTAATTCTGCTTGAACACATCCTCCCACCTCCCAGCAAATGTTGAGAGACAGCAAGGGCATAGATATCAATAGTTTTACTTCTGAGATAAACAGGCAGGGCCACTGCCAGCCTTTGCCCAGTTTAGAAACAGGCCCTCCCTCTGAGTGGGTGGGACCCTGTGGGCACAGTGCTTAACAGATGGATGGCTCCAGCAGAGCTTGTCACATGGAAAGCCGTATGGCCTGCAGGCACTGTTCACTCAGATGTACACACCCCACCCAAAACAATCAAACAAGGATTGATTCCAAATCTTAATGAACTTTGCTGTTACTTCTTTATGGAGCAGCTAGCGTTAACTTTCTCTGCCAGAGCAGCTAGTGGGGTTGAACCATCAATCTTGTGGTTGGCAGTCTGATGCTTAACCTGACAGCACCACCTGGGGTCCTTGACTGCACACAGAGAGACCCAGAAAACAAGAATGCCAATGCTACCCTGACATTCCAGAAGACAGAAAGCTCAGGACACACACACACACACACACTCGCACAAAGTGCCCACCCTTTGTTTCACTATAGAATGCATCACCTTTGTCCACTGCTGAGACCTCGGTTTGCAAGTCTGAGGCGCCAATTAGCTAAAATTCCAGAGTTCCAGACGTGACTACATTCATCGTCTGAGGAAGGATGACACCAGGCTGCCTACAATTTGCACTTGAACCTCTGGGAACTCAACCTCTGCCTAGTCTAAGGAGATGGTCTGCTCCTTTTCCTGGGACAGAAATTGGACACCGGTTAAAAGACATCCAATCACGGGATGTTGACGACAGCGTCTCTCTTCAGCTCTTTCTATCCTTGAATAAAAACATTCAAAACCAAGTGTGCCTTATGTTTTAAAAGACAAAAGGGATTTCTCATAGGCACTCTGAAAATATGCTTGCAATTGTGCAACCTACCGTCTAGATACAGAAAGGCACCCGGGCCCTTGAACCCCGTGTTAAGAGTAGCCAGTGATGACCACAGTCCGTACCCCATCTGCTTCCCATGAGAAAGGCAAAGAAGTCACGCGATGACAACAGAGGGGGACACCCAGGGGAAGCCCCTCCTAGACAGCCTGGAGGAGTGTGAAAACCATGCGACCATGTCAAGCTGAGAGGCACAGGATTCTCCTCTCACCTCTAAACCTCTGGGTATCTTTCAGCTGCCCTCCCCCGAAGACGGCGTTCTGGTTCATGGGATGTTCATGGATGCTTCCCGATGGGACGATAAGGAGATGGTGATAGAGGACGCGCTGTCTGGACAGATGAATCCAATGCTGCCCGTGGTGCATTTTGAACCTCAACAGAATTACGAGCCCAATCCTACACTGTACCATTCCCCACTCTATAAGACAGGGGCCCGCGCAGGCACACTGTCAACCACAGGTGAGGATGGTACCCTACAGACCCAGTGTGGGGAGTGACCAAAACGCATCTGACAAAGAAGGTCTAAACACTCACCTGTAATACACAAAGGGATGTCTTGAGCCAGGCTTCAAAGAAAGCCAACTATTGCATGTAAATAGGTAAATGTTCTAAATCTTATTCATCCTAATGTTGCGAGTCAATTGTTGGCACGTGCTGTAAGCAAGCTAGTGTGGGCCCATCTGTTGTTGGAGTGTGGGGTCCATTGTTCATTCCTAGCCACCCGGTGCGACCGAGTGGCCCTGCCCACAGGGCTTCCTTGGCTACAATCTGTACAGGAAGTTTCTCTTTCATCAACAAAAAGAAATGCTGTGGAGTGCACCCCGACTCATAACGCAACCCTACAGATTCTCGAATATAGAACACGGTAGAATTTCCCCTGGGGGTTTCTGAGACTAACTTTTTTTTTTGAGACTGGAACTCTTTATAGGAGTAGAAAGCCTGTCTTTCTCAGGCAGAATGGCTGGTGGTCTCAAACTGCCAAGCATGCAGTTGATTAGCAGCCTCACTGGTAACCACCGCGGTACCAGGGCTCCTTGATTTTGCTAAGGTGTGAATAATTCTGAACTTGTGCTTGAGTCTGTAGAATCCATCAGTAATTTAATTTTGGTAAGTGGTATGTCATAAAAGGCTCTAAGTTTTGTATGAACAATTGTCCTCACAATGTTTGTGGGATATTTGTTTTCCGTTCCTTACCAGTTCTAAATGATAAGTACACTGAACATTCTGTGCACTTGATCTAATTGAGCTTTGTGTCAGTACAGCTCCATTTTATTTACATTCTACTACGTCTTGGAATTAGACATTTCTAAACTCCATTATTAGTTCTACCATATTTTACATGCATCATAAAAATAACTTACATGCACTTATATTATTCATCGAAGACTCACACATGGAAGTTGCAGTTTTCACACACACACACACACACACACACACACACACACATACATATACCTGTGTATGTGTAGCATGCACATCATTTGTGTACACTACGGTGGTAACTTTTTGGAGCCCTGGTAGTGCGGTGGTTAAGCGCTCCACAAAAGTAGTATGCCATAGAAGGATCTAAATTTTATATGACACATAAGGCCCTTTAGAACAGAGTGAAACTGCCCCAGAGGGTCTCCCGGGCGGTCAGTCTTTATGGACCACATGGCCATATCTTCCTCCCGCGCAGCAGCTGACGGATGCAAGCACGGACCTGTTGAGTTAGCAGCATTTGTGACTTGAACTGCTCCGTTACCAGGGCTTCTGAGTTTTAGCCGACAGTGGGTAAATTCGGCTTCTTGCATACATAATGGCTGCACAGGTTTGGCTCTGGGCCCAAGGGCTTCTCCAGATCTGGGGGAGGCCTTAAACCAGTCTTCTACCAGAAGCTTCAAAAAGTTCTTGGAAAAATTCAACTATCTTTTCATTACCTTTTTCCACCAAGCGCCCTCCCAGACTCCATGGGCATCGCTGTCTGTCTGCCGTACAGGCTTGGAACCTGCCCCAAGGAAAGTCTGGACAGGGAGCAGAGTCTGAGGGGTTGCTTAGGACCTTGTTCCAAATGCCAGGTCCCAGAAAACCAGTAATTCCCTGTGAAGGCCGTCCAGGGTTGCCTTCCCTTGCTTTTGTGATGGCAGGCTTGTTCCTCAAGGGCTAGCAATAACCAGGGCGCCCAGCATGGCGATGAGAGGGCCAGATAGAAGCAGTCTCCGCTGATAGCGTGCGTAGGGATCGGGAATGTTGTGCTTGGAGGACCGGAAATGGCAACACCAATTACGAAGGCAGACCCTCTTTCTTTTCACCCTGGTCCTGGCCCCTTGCAGATGCCCACCCTGAAGAAGTTACAAAGACAACCTCTTCCATCAGCTGTCCCATACCTGAGGGCAAAACCCCCCTGACGGTGCTGTGCATCTAAGATTCCCCGGTGGCTAGCGCAGCTCTAGAACACAGGAGAGATGGAGGGGTGCCGGGGTGGGTGAGTGGATGAGTGCACGGATGGAGGGAGGGAAAGATGAGATATGTGTAACATCAACCTACTAGATGCATTCCCGCGAGTTTCGTGGAAAGCTCGGGTCTGGGTCCAGGTCCGATGTCCCCAAAGTCAAGTTTTGCAGCCCCAGGTGACTGAAGACTGTGCAAACCCTAAGTCTGACTGCAGAGAACTTGAAATAGAGCTTTTAAAGCCCAAGCCAGACACACTCTACTCGGGGATCCATTGCTCTACCTTCATGTTGGAATGCAAACCTGAAATCCAGGGAGGGCTGTTTGGAGCCCTAGGAGTCCTGGCCCTCACTGCAGTGTTCTTCATGGCCCCAGGGGGATTACCTTTCCTTTATGTATGTACGTATTTATTTCCCTGTGTCCCTAAACAGGCCACTCGACTAACTTTGTGGTGACCATCCTCTTGCCCTCCAAGAGATCGAAGGACTACTGGATCGCCAAGGGCTCGGCTCTGCTCTGCCAGCTGAGCGAGTGACAAGACGCCTCCCCGACCAGCCAGCAAGGTCTGCGGGGTTTCCATTGGAACACATCGAGTGCTTGTTGTTTTTGCTTTTGCTTAAAGGGTAGTGTCGGTGGCTTGTATTTCACATAGAATCGGCAATAAAGTGGTTTGCTGCCTGTTGCTCACAGCTGTATGTAGCGCCCTCCCTTGGCCCAGGCGGCCGTCAGTAACCTCCTGGGGCACCCCAAACCCCAACTCCCCGCTCACCCAGTACTAGGCCCCTTGCTGTCTACATGGACATGTGCTTCCGTCCCCGAGGCCTGGAGGCTTCCGTTCCTCTACTCCGCAGGTCCTGCCCAGAGCCCGGGAGGCGGAGGCCCAGGCAGCGACAGCAGCAGTGGGGGGCACAAGGACTGGGAAGCACTTTATGGCAGCACCTCAAACGCAGCCTCCCCACCCACCATCCCCGGCAGTGCGCTCCGGTGGCATCCTCCCGTGTAAACCAGCCAAAGTGCAGGCTGCACCAGTTCCTGAAAAGGGACGAGGCACCGCTCCCTGGCTCCGCTGGATGCAGAACAGGGGCTTACAGGGAGGAAGAGCTGCAGGAAAATGCAGCATCAGGACCCACAGCCTGTGTGCACCATGGTATCGAAGTTGCAGTTGAGTGGAGCCCGGAAACAGAGCTGCAGAGGCAGATGCAGGTGATGTGGCTAAGAGTTGTTCGCCGGTTTCAGAAGTCCTGTGGTGGCACTGTGACTTAGGTGCTGGGCAGCTGTTGGAAAGGTGTGTGCTTCCAGCATACCATTTCCTCCTCAGGAGAAAGATGAGGTTGCCTGTGCCCATAGAAGTGTGCAGCCTTGCACACGCTGAGTTACCATCGGCTCGATGGCAGTGAGTCTGGTTTGGGCTTGCACATAATGTGGGGAGGACACATCTATGTATACGCACAGACACAGTTCATAGTTTCCATATACAGCTATGTTACAAAGCTGTCCATCTCCCTCCCACCCCCCACCCCCAGCAAGGTGGGCTACCCTTCGTCAGTCTTAGACCGAGAAGAACCAATCGTGGTTTTGATTCTGAATCTCTTCTCCCATGATGGGCCGGGCAAGACCAGAGCAGCGTGTGGCAGGGCAGGAATGGCCGGCCTACTTAGTCTGCCCCACCTTTACAGGAGAAAGGTGTTGGGAAAGCCAGCACCACTACCCAAAACACAGGAGTCCAGAGAGAGAGACGGGCGCTGCTGGCCACTGTCTGGCTATGGTGGGGCTGCCCCCAGAGAGGGAACTGCAGCTCCGCAGAGATCTGCCTGTCCAGGAGGGGGACCTGGAGATATGGGAGCACAGCACTAGGAGGCAAAGAGAAAGACAGCATCTCAGGGTGCAGCAGGGACCCCTGCCTTCTCCACAGCCACCAAATGCCCAACCAGCTTCATCTCCCTTCTTGCCCTAAACGACGGGAACGGGTGTGAGTGTGTCTGTGGGCTTCTTGTGTCTCTGGCTCTCTTTACCGTGTTGCAAAGAAAGCCACGTGACAAAGAACAGTGACAGTCTGTATTAGACTGACCAACCCTCTGTTTGGGTCTTGGCTCCCTGACCAGGAAACCCCTCAGGTGCTTCTCACCCCAACCCCAACTTCCCTTCCCAGCCTGCAGCTGGAGGCCACCTATCTTGGTTTCTTTAATGTGATGGGCTTTCCACACGAGGCTTTCACACTGTTGCCACCTGTCTAGGACGCCTTTCCCTCTTTGTCCAGTTGTTCGCTTCCTCCTTCCTTCGGCATTGAAGCAAAAGCAAACCCACTGCCCTTGAATCAATCCCAACTCTCAGCGGCAGGATAGACACAGCAGTGCTGCCCCCGGGCTGCCAGGCTGGGAATCTTTACGGACACAGACTGCTTCGTCCTTCCCTGTGGCTAGTGTAGTGCACTCAGACCACGGAGCTTTCCGTGATCAGCAGAGTGTTCCACTGCTGCCCCCCTCCCCCGGGCCCTCCATCCGCTGGTTACTAAGCAACAGATCCCTGAGTCCCCTCACCCAGACTCAGAAGTTTTAGTCACCAGACCCTACTCTGCCAGGTTTCTCTTCAATATCAGCTAAAAAGCCCATTTCCTGAAGGAGGCCTAACCAGCCTACATTAAGTAACCTAAATAAAGACAAACTAACACTCACATATTCCCACACTCTGCGTGTGCCAGGAGGATGGTCGACTCCAAATCCGGCCTCCTCCACACACGTCCACACTGTGAGTGCGCTCCATGAAGGCAGGGCCAATGTTGGTCCAATTCACATCATAACCAGAGCCCCGCACCCAACAGCGGGCACAAAGAACTTAATGCCTTGAGGTTGAACGTTGAGCCTGGATGCCAGGCCGCTGTCCTGTCATTATTCCAGCAGCTGGTGCCCTGAAGACCCGGGCAGGATCACCACCCTTGGCTCTCCTATACCCATCTCTGATCCAGCCCAGACGAGGGGGTCTGAGATGCTGTCATGGCCAACGTCCCAGTAAACCATGGGTGGGGCTGAATGAGCACATCCCTACGGAGTTGCTGCCAACTCTGCAAAGCACTCATTGTAAAGTCAAGTTACTTCAGCCTTTATCCAAGCTCCGCTCCATTTTCATCAGGCCCATCCGTGCCCCCGCAGATGCCTTCTAACAGAGGTAAATAGGTTACCCTTGTCCTGCCTCGAAGCAACCATCTTGAATCTGGCTTCATCTCTACAGTGAGCAGAAATTGCTGCCACAGGTATGCAGAGGGACCTTGAGAGGCTCTCATTCCTCCCCTAGCCTTGAACCTCCTCACGTAAGTAAGTGTTAAGGGGAGTAGTGCTAGGTCATGTTTAGGGCAGTCTGGCTCCCCAGCACTCCCAGTTGATGAGCTCCTGCATGGCCGGCCCGCCTGCATGCCCGCCTCACCTCTCCTCCAGACGGACCCACAGCTCGGTGAATTGCCAGAGCCGTGGCCTTCGTAGCGGCCTCCTCCATTTCTCCCTGGAACCTCTGCTCAACCTCAAGGGGCAGGTGGACACTTCTGGGTGGGAGCACTTGTGGTGGCCACAGTGACTGCAGCGTGGTCCCAGCTTCCCACACTCCTGGGGCCCAGATGGCAGACAGGGTGGGCTGTGATGAAGTCACGTTCCTCTTCACCCTGGAAACCCAAGCAGGAGGTGTCGGTACTGGGTGGAGGGCAACACAAATCCTCCTCTCTCTTACAGATCAGAACTTCAGCCATGCAGATAACAAGAAAGTTCAGGACAAGACCAGACAAGCAGGGACTGTCTGGTGTTTGAAGGCACCTGGAGAAGTGATCACATGAAAGCCTTTATTTTTCCCTTATCCACACCAATAAACCCCCAGGGCCCACTGCCATCCACTCTGACGCATAACCACCCTAGAGAACCAAACAGAACTGCCCCACCGCCACCACCGCAGGACTTCCAAAGGTTTCATTAGGTCAACAGACTGCCACATCTTTCTCCCACAGGGTTCCACCCACTGACAGTTTGGTTATCAGTTTAGTGCTCTTGACCTCTGAGCTAATAACCCCACCATACTCTCCCTTCTAGTCCCCCACTCAGGAGGAAGAAATAATAAGGCTTGGGAGTCTTGTTTTATTTTTATTCTTTGTTACATTTTGTTTTACCAGAATATGATTACTCTCCTTCCCTAATAGGTCACCACTGTCTGCAGAAAGTCACTTACGTGTTCAGTATTTAAAGAGAGATGTAAAATGTTTAAATGCTTAGAATGGTTAGGTTGTCGTATTGACGCATAACAACCATCTAGGACAGAGAGAAGTGGATTTCTTGTTTTCCTAGGCTGTAACTTTTAAGGGAGCAAGAATTGACTCTCACCAAGCCATTTGTAGATTCTAACTGCCAGCCTTGCCGTTAGCAGCCCAGTGTTTAACCGCGGTATCATGAGGGTGCATAGGAACAGTTATAACCCCCACGCCCCCTGAGCCCTGGTCATCCCTCCTGGACCATTATGAGGGCCCTGCTTTGAACAACAGACTCTGCCTGCTGTCTCGAGCGAAGGACACTTGGGCTGTTGTCCCAGGTGTCCACAGGGTTACCTTCTTCCTTCCTCACCCCTGTCTGGCCTTAAACTAGTTTTTCCCAGAGGTAGGTTGTTAACAACTGGTGGGAAATACAAACTTAGTCCTATTTACCCCCGAGGGTAACTTTGGCCCTACCCCACGGGTCTAGTGAAGAAATGAAACCACTGGAAAGGCCAGCTTCCTTCCCGGAGCAGATCGTTTTTTGGAGGGGAGAAGGGGAGGATGGAGAATGCCAGCCACTAGTCATTGATAAAGGCGGTAAGAGACTCCACGCTCCGCTTGGCTCCAGGATGGGGAGCAGTGAGCGATGTGCCAATGTTCCCAGCTTCCCTCTTTAAAGATGTGGGTACAGCAGACCAGTGCATGTAAGACCTTAATCCAGCGGTCCTCAACCTGTGGGCCTCGCCCCTTTGGGGGTCAAATGATCCTTTCACAGGAGTCGCTCAATTCATAACAGTCGCAAAATGACAGTGATAAAGCAGCAACGAAATTCATTTTATGGTTGGGGGGGGGGGTCATCACAACATGAGGGCCTGTATTAAAGGGTCGTAGCATTAGGAAGGGTGAGAACCACTGCCTTCATCGTTCCTTTCTAGCTCCGCCTCCCCCACCCGCTGGAATCAAGCCTGTTATGACCAAAGGCTAATGGAACTTGAGAAGGCAGCACCTACCCCTCACTCTGGGTGAGGAAGAGGGTGGGTATAAGAGAAGAAAAAGAGAGAGAGAGAGACCAAGATCGGGGGAAAGAAGGGAACTTCTCAATAGCAACAGAAGGACAAAAATCACCTACTCTGAACCACACCCCAGAAGCTGAGAATTCCAGAAATGGCCACAGCTGGAAGATGCCCAAGCGGATAGCCTGGGTCATAGTCACCACTGTCTCCAGAGCCCAGCACAGTGTCTGCCACAAACCTATGACACCTCTTAGATGAACCCCTCATTCCACCAACCAGAACGAGGGCCCCAAAAGTAGACATGTCAACCCTAAGTTCTGCAAGCTTCAGAGGCAGGTGGTCAGGTAGCCCCCGCCCCCAAACGCTGATGAGACTTCAATAAAGAGACTCTATCTGTGTCATTGTTGCTTTCCATACAACCTAAACAGGCCCTGGCACACTGTGGCCCCTTC